GGGCCTCCTGCAAAGTGGGGCCCGGAACTGCAACCCCCCTTAGATTTCCTCTTAATCCAGCGCTGCGTAAAAGATCATGTTATGTAATATTGCAGGAAATTCAAGTTACAATTACTTACTATTTGAATAATAGCAGGATAAAATGATTATGAAATGATTGCTATCTAGCGTGTGTGTAGACTTGTGCACACCGTGCATTAAAGTCTCCCGAACGGTATATTCTTCAGATGTTTAGTTGAAGTCGTATAAATCTTACAATTAGAAATTTCAAAATTTTCTATTTTTTAAGGTTTACATATTCTGGAGTATAAAATTTGGGGAGTTTCTTTGCAAATTTGTCAACATTAAATCTAACATTATATAAATAAAAGTACTGAATTTCGATTCCGTGAAAATTAAATAGTAATTTCTAGGAAAGCGTAATTGCCGAGATGCAATGGTGCCTCTGTCGATCGGCGATATGCAAAATTCAAACTTGTGAATTCTGTTCACTCTGAATAACACGATTCTGGTCACGCTTCGGTTGAAAAAGAAACGCAGTTTAAATCGTTGCAAGTGAAATCTATCAGTCGTACAAATGTTTTCAGTAGTCGGTACCTACTTCACGTATTGTTACCATTGGTTAAAAAATATGCCATTGCCAAAAAATATAACTATCCAAATTTTTCTAATAAAATGAAAAGTGTACTATCTTAATACAAATTAAATAATTTAATATGGTATTAAAGAAATCTCGAATTTTTTATTTCCAATAACCCAACTTTAAATAATAGTGATCATTGCAAAACGCTTAAAAAAAAAAAAGAACAGTTTGTCAAATTTCTACTAAATCTCCTATATTTTTCACTAATCCCGCATTAAAAAGTTACTACAAGTTTCTACAGATGTATATTTTCAAATGAAAAAACATGTATTAAAAACAGTTAACTGGTTGAAATATCCCGACCAAAGGTCACATTTTTCTTCTTTAAAAATATTCTTTATATTACGCCGAAAATACACACTGCTATCGTCAAAGGAACGTTTCTTTGAGTTTGGAAACGGTAAATATTAAATTTACATAGTTGACATGGAGCGATTTCTAATATGCGAACGGTCTTTGACTGTTCACGGTCCGTAGAAACTTTCTGCTTTTAATGAAACGAACGAATAAAAAAAAAACGTGGCTGGTGTTGAAAATGAAACCGCGATGTGCATGATTTTCCAGAACGCGTCACATTACGCTTGCAAAATGTGAAAGTTCAATTCGTTGAAAAAGTAGAGTAAACTAAAACGTTCAAATCATTTATATTTTTATATCTTCCATCGAGTTCTGACATTATGATATTGAAATGCTTTTTCAATCAATATCAGTAATATTTAATTGCATAAAATTTAGATAAATGTCTAATATCATAAAATTAAAAAAGAGAATTGTAAATATTATGATATAAAGTTATAAGGAATTAAAATAATTTACGTTTGATTTTTCGAAACAAAAAGTTATACCCAGAGAAAGTATACAATTACTTAAACGACAAATTATTTCTCTTGACCAGTTGTTTTATATTGTACAAAAATTGATCCTGTCATTGAAACAAGTTCCAAACTCGTTATTCTTATCTATTTATGGAGAATATCATGATCGCGGAAATTGCAAAATGTAAAACGTGACAGGTACTTTTCCCTGGAGTTGCCCGACTTCTTTCGTTTTTGCTCGCAAGTTTTAATCAATCAAGCAAATAAACTAGCAACCAGAGCTACGCGAACGTGATTTGCACAATTAAACTAAAACTTTCACGGAAGTGCATTTCGCACAGATTTCCGCGCTCTTTTATAAAAGACCCTCGAATAACGCTCTCGATTGGAAATGTTTCATAGGTAACACAATTTTATCATGCCGTAACATATTATTTCCGCTGCACTATGAAATATCTTGATCTACCGGTTTTATAGTGGTTTATAAAATATACTTGATAAGCAGAACCGATAATCCCTTACTTTATTAATCTTTTTATGATTGACACTCAATTTTCGTAATCTTTACAAGAAATTTACGAAGAACTGTCGATTATAATCAAAGAAACTGTTATTGAATATTGCAAAACGATGCAAAGTTAAAAAATTATAATCTATTTTAAATTCTTTGGATTTCTCCATTATTTTTCTTTCCTTTTATGATTAAAATCTTCTTAACTCCTCTGCTACTAAAACATTTTTTATTGCAAAGGAAATTGTACAAATTTACTTATTTTATTTACTTTTGGATATATGAATTGGATTATTTAATATAGAAATGTACAAGTACAATTTGTGTCAAAGATGGGTAAATCAAAGGGTTAAATTTCTTAATGTCATAGTCATTATAAATAGTGAAATTGTCTTGGTACTGAAATTGTTGTTATCAGTAGAAGATTTGCGTGTCATATCTCAACCTGTTAACCATTGGAAAGTAAGTACATACATCAGAAGTGCACGCAACGAGTTAACTCGTCACGGAAGTTTAAATAATACACGTGTACTGAAACTTAATGTATCATTGGTTTGTTTTTTTGTTATCGCGAGGGCATAGTATGTTCCAATATAAATGGACTGTTTAGTTTAAAAGAGGTGTAAGTCTATAAATTGTGTATAAATAAAAAGATCATCTTAAAGTATATATCAATTTTTTCAAACTATGTAAGGAATAAGAACTTGACGAATACTAATTTTAAAAACAACAACTATCCACATTTAATGACTCCCTTTATTCTTTGCTCCCTTTATTTAAAAATATCTGTTTCTGAATTTCCCGTTGTCACAATCATATGAGATAAACAGTATAGAATTTCACAGTTGTTATTAACTCCAATTTGCAAGTTAAATAAGCTCTCTGGTTAACAGGTTAAACATAATGTCACGAACTATCATTTTATCTGATGTCCTCGGGAACATCTTTGCAGCTCTATCACAATGATTCTTCTACATTGATCGACCTCGTTTTGTAAAATGCACTTGTTGCTATTCACAGAGGGTCTTTAATTGAACCCACACATTTTTTTATATTATCAAACTATGATCACAATCTTTTACACACCCTTTATATTCTATTTAAAAGAAAAACCGTATAAGAAAATTAATATTTCAATATATCAATTAATTAATATTAATATTAATAATTTATTTATTTAAATTATACGGGACGAACCCTTTTGTGGTACATGATACATATTAAATTGTATGAATGTTAACCACAAGTGCATACGTAAGGACTAAAGGAGTGATAGTGAGTGGAAAAGTTTGTAATAAGAAGACACACAAACAGTTCACAGCAAGAGAAGAAGCTATACACGCAAGTGTACCTAAACAAGCAGTAGTAGCAGAGATACCAGAGTATGTGTGCCATGCGTCGCATTTGTGTTGATAAACAGTACTTAGGTATTAGCATTATTATGACTGGAGTAAAATTAATACTTAATATTTGTATTAATATCCTAGACTTGTATAAAATTATAGACAATATTAATTGGACAAATAATTATCATCCTAATAATATATTTAATTTAATTTAATTTGTTCAATAATATCGTGTATAGGTACTAATAACCCATATAAGGTTAATTCAATCTAAAAAATTAAACTTGAAAACAAGAATAAACATTAAGATCCTATTCAGATTTTTGTGTTTGCTCATTTTATTCTGCTAATTGTGGTTTGCACGGCGGTAAACGTATCAACCGCGAGCTCATGTCTGACTGACTATCAGAATTCAATCTATAAAGCAATGGCATCAAGATTTTCATTATATAACACAGCAAGTGTGCTATGTAAATACAAGAAAAAATGGAAATTGCTAGTTACGCGTAATTTCAGAATCCCGTATGTATTTTCTTTGTTGAAATTTTCTCACCAGTTAGCTTGAAACTATCAACGTATAATAACATTTAAACTATTTTCTATTAAACTAAATGGGTCAATATTTTTTCTAGTGTAATAAAATGATATATTCCAATAAAAGAATGAATTATACTGTTGATAATTAATCATTCTGATCGTTGTAGTGCGGTAATGTACCGTTATTATCGATGCTCAAACAATACCACGTTTCGGAGTCACGCACCATGTTGAATTGTTTTTAAACTGTATACGCTACTTGGCACGTTTTCAGGAGAAACAACCTGATATCCTTCGTATTAGTTTAAACACGTCACATATTCATTGCAAAATTGCAAAACACTCTTAGCCCTTAACTCGTGTGTAAAATTCCAGGAAAGTGAAATTATTTTAATACTGCATTTTTTCTTATTTAAATAATTAAAACTTATTTTTATAAATAACATTTTGCCATTTATTGCAATAACTAGTGTTAATGAAAGTTTAACATTTTACTAAAAATTTATGAAAAGGTACTCAACTCCACCAGCAGAAATTGCACTTCATTAATTAAGGATTAATCCAAATACAACACTCAAAATTAGTTAGTTTCTTCAAAAATAGATAAAAATTTATGTAAAACTTGACAGAAATCTATGCAAAGATTAGAAAATTTACCTATCATAACTTCAACATCTGTGTAACAAAAATTGCATTTAACTAATTAACTCTTGAACAGCGGAGCCTGGGTTAATCGTGACCCAAAACAGAATATTATCTAAAGTTAAATGTATAATTTTTAAACGAAAAACTTTCATATTTTCGACGAATAATGATAGAGAAACAATGATGATAATAGAAAATACAATTAGGGCTCTCTCCATGGTCCATCGTCGCGTCCGAGAGTTAAAAGTCAATCCAATTATCTTGACAATTCCCAAAATTACATAATTCCCTAAAAAATCTATAAACCGAACAAACAGTTCTAAATAAATACCAAACCGACCGCAAAACAATTGACTGAATGCCTAAACCTGCTTAGAAACCTCAACTTTTTTGCTCATCAATGACCGGAATCTTTCTGCCAGATTGGCTTTCACGAAAACGGTCATTCAGACGATCTCTTTGTCCTGGTAACGGGAATATCTCGGCCAGATTCGAATGCTTACCGGCGGTGGTTCGGCGGAGGAGTAGACCTCGCTGGGTGCGTAATTGCTATGAGGCGGATGAGGCATCTTCTCCGAGACAACGGCCACGGTAGCCAAAGAATCCGGTTGATCCTTTTCCATCTTCTCTGATACCTGTTTCGAGCACTGACTGACTACAACCGACTGTTTGATGACGAAAAAATCCTGTTTCTCTCGATCGACGGGTACACTTGATGTCGATCGCTCGGCGAATCGACGAGCAGTGAGTGCCCGGCACCGTCTGACACCGCTAGCTTACCGTTACCCCCACCAGCTGCGAAGCTAGTGAACCTTCTGGTACACCTTTCTGATGGGTATGTCTTCTGGTACCAAGGTGTACCTCACCGTGTTCTTGTTGTCGGACTTTCTAAACACCGACCACGTCCTGTGCTTGTGTGTCCGTGGGCGAGACCGAAATCTATACACGTGAATCCCATCGGCTCGTGTGGGGATCGTCGCTCAAACACGAGTTTTGCAATGTTTTTCTCCTTCCCCACCTTCTCCTCTGTATTCCATTTTTCCCCTTCTTTGGGAAAATTGCATCAACGAACGAGCCCTGCAACGAAGACGAACTCGTTTTTGAATGTACGTCTCTCGCCGGTCGACTTTTATAGGACATATGGTTATTTAACTTGCATGCACGGGATTGTGAATGTACGCGGATAGTTTTGCGGCAATAGTGACACACGGTCGTGAAGGAGTACGGTTGGTGGGGCGTTCGGTTTTCTCTTCGATCAAAATAGTGAAGTTAAAAGTTGTGCCTTTATGTGTGGGAGAGATATCCTTTTCCCTATTATAGTGATTGTTACAATTTAAGAAGCAAGCATCATTTGAATTAATGATTCTTTATTATATTTTGTGATAATTTGTCGTGCAAGATCACAACAGTAGTAATAAAATTATCAATACACAATGATAAAATATACATAATTTTAATTTATTTATGTTTAAATTTATTTAGTATGTAAGTTTCTGTTCGTATACGTTTAATAAATAAAGAAAATCCACCATATTTAAATTGGAAAAGATTAATTATAATTTTGTGTTTCTTGTGACCTTAGTATCATGTACAGCACCGAGGATAGACTTCCCCAGAAATAAATGGCGATGTTCCAGGATTCCTCTCCTCCCCGTGTGTGGCTCCGAGGAGAATGACAATGTAGGAGAGAGGGTCCCATATATGTAGACACGTAGCCTCCCACCCATAATTATTTATGCTGATCACTAATGACCCTACAATATTCAACTAATTAAAGTTGAAAATACGAATTTAAAAAAAGAATTAAACTTCATAAAAATTGAAAATGCTAAAGAACATAAAAATGAAATGTATATAAACAATTCTGCAAAAAATACCTGAAATGTTGAATAATACAACTCCCCAAAGAACGTTAAAATTTATTGAAAAATTTCATTCATATATTCAGTACGTTATCCGTTTTGCATTGACAAAAGGCAAACGAATGGTGTATCAATAATGATGAGCAAGGAAATTGGTTATGAAGTGATTTTTGTTCACGTTCAACGTGCCTCGCAGTCAAGCAACGTTACCTGTATACAGGAAGTGCTGACCAGAGGAACCGAGGAAGTTCATATTACAGGCAATGGTGGAAGGGCATGTATGCGTGACAATGAACAGAGAGGAAAGCCATTGGGAGATATGATACAAGGAAGCGATGAAAGTCTTTTTGTTTATCGACAACGATTTAATATACGAGCAATGCATGAGTGCTTTCGAAATTTCACGCTGTTTTACTCATTGTGAAGCGTTTGTAATTAAGCACTACGTGTTTAATAAATATAATATCCAACTGGTGCTGTTTTTTTGTGGTTCTCATCGTGAAATACGTCGTGAGAGCTTGAAAATTATTTATTAAAATTCTGTAATTCTTCCTTTATTAGAATTATTTGTTAAAATTTCAATGCAGTTCAAACAGTTTGAGATATTTCTAATTCAATATAAGATATTTCATACAAAAGTTGAAATATCTCACGAATTGCTGCTTTTATCCGGAAAAATTTATTTTTGTGATTTCGAATATTGAATAATGACGTAATAGTAACATTTAATTCAATGTTACTTTTAAATATTTAATTATCATGCTTATGTAAGAATTGAAGATTATCTTGTTCTTACAACTTTGTATATAGTCAAGTAACACAGGTTTCACAAATTCGAAATTTAAATGTACAGATATTCTTAAACATGACTGGTCCCCTATAGGTGTCCGTGTAAACCTATAGATATAACGCCAACATGCAATATTAAATTATATTGCTATTTAACGTCAGAATTATGCCCGTATTTTAAAACGACACATTCAAAGATAAGCAGCAAGAATATAAATACTAGATACGTGCAGAATGAGAAATTACAATTTGTTAAAATACCATTAATTGCATAATTCGTTCTGTTATATATTTATTCATTAATTTATACAGCCCATTATCATTATAATTACTTCCAATTTCAACAAATTACCATTTGCTAATTATTAATTATCATAACTATACATATTTTAATTGCCAAACTAATAGCAGTTAATGCAGTGCTGACAAATCTTATAACCATTCTTGTCAATTGCATATTTAATTAAAATCTGCACGTACATCGGTACCTATGTATATGTGCAATATGCATTTCAGACAGTAGATATTCATGGTCACATCCATTGTGCAATTACATACGATGCCCAAAACTACGACTGGCTTTTTCTTCGCTCTTTCTTGAATCGGAAGATCGTTAATCATCCTGTACACGAAAATTTTCGTACTTCTTGTTAGCATCGTTTTCACGTAAATGATACTTATGCAGTTCGTATGCACAGACTGGACGATGAAAAACGCATCGTCCTTTAAATCTGTTACTGACTGACGTCAATATACTTGCTTTTTCGCATTGATATTGTTGTATAAAATATTTAGCGCATAATCATTAGGAAATTTTCATAGGATAACATTTTTTAAACATTTATAGGTAAGGTAATAAAGAAATAAATAAACGTAATATAATATATAAAAATATTTAAAAAAAACACAATTTGTATTTACAGTTTCACACTAGAAAAAGATATCTAACTTCATACGAATTACCACATTATATAACTGAATTATACAATAAAACATATTTTACTGTAATGCTCAATGTCTTTTCACTTTCATTGGTCATTGACCATTTCAACGCTGAAGATAATCACTCAAAGGTGTAAAAACGTATCGAACCTCGGCAATCTTTACACTTTCTGCTTTCTTTCACTTGAAACGGTGATGCACGACGATCTGCTTGATATATCATGTAACGCATTGTGATCTTAATAAATTTCTTACGTTTGGTTAAATTCAAGTAGTTTTACCAACATGATTAATCAAATGATATCAGAATGGACTATATTATCTAGTTAGTGAATGAGTGCATGGTTTATGTTATGACTATTTGAATACAAATTTTACATCTTATCTATGGAACATTTCATAGAAGTTTTGAAAAGAATTAGAAAGTTTAATCTATTAAGTGAGCTCAGTCGCTTTCATTATATAAACTGTGATCAGAATATAAAGAGTTAATTGAATACGTTTAATTAATAAGCTACTATCAATATACTACTATCATTAACAAAACTTTCAATTAACCTTTCAGTTATTAGTTCTTGAACAGCTATAATTTTTTTTATTCATTTTGTTTTACGTAGTTTGATCCATGTATGTGGATGAAGATTTTAAATAGATCTTAACAAAATAGTAAAATACTAAACCTTTCTAAAGTACACGATACTTTTCTAGGCATTTGCAAATTACTATATAATTTGTTAATGCAACAAATTATTTAAAAAATCATGGGAAATAAAAATTATATTTTAAGCAGAGCGAATTATCATTTCACATTGGTATACTTTTTCTGGAATTCAACTTTTCTCTGAGTAAAAGCTTGACTGGTAGCATGCAACGTTGTGGAGTATCATTGAACAAAATTGACAGAAACATTAATTTATTATAAAAAGAATAGCTGCTTTCACTCCATTTCCCAACGCGTTGTTAGAGCTCATCCAGTCAGAACTAGTCAAACTGTTTAGGATCATGAAGACGAGCAGAGATTGTAAATGCTCGTACAAACTGTGAGGAACGAATCAGGGTGAAAGTGGGAAATGTACACCCACGAGTAGTTGTATGACTATCGTAAATTTTCGCTTTGTCCTTTTACATAGTTTCTGATTATCTTGAGAAGAACATCTTCCTTAAGCATGTATACAAGGTGTGCATTTCAAAAATGAAAAATTGACTACTTAATTCGTGTAACGATTGAGATCAAATTTAACGATTTATCTTGCTTCTATTTGACCCGATTCAAAATGATCTCTACTTCTGAATGAAACTTTCACCGATTAAATTATCGTTCCTATATGTATGTGTATAGAGATATTGCATAGAGACCGTGACTGCATTTTTACTGTATTCTTTTATACATTTCATGTATATATTTTTCTTTTTCAATATAATCAAGAATAATATTTTGATGATTATAGTTTCCACTTTTGTTTTTTTCCTTTTTTTTAAGTGAAAATTAACAACATAGAGTATGGAGATATTAATTAATTAATATCTCGCGTAATAATTATTATGCGTGCAAATTAATTCGATGTCTTTATTATTACGCTTTCTTAGTTACTATTTTAAATTTGAATATTTTCCCACCCTTCTATATAGTTGAAAAGTGGCGCGAGAATATGCTGAACGAATTGAGAATAGTGTTGCTGTAGAAATATGGATAATATACTGTTTTAAATGGTACTATAGAAAAACGTCAATTTCCCTTTCAGTTTTATTGAAAGATTGTGAATCTTACTATTAATAAATATCCTTTTGCTTATAAATAGAGGACTGAATAAAAAAGTATAAATATTCAAAATACGAAATGAAAAGTGTACTTTTGCATGAATACTTATTGTTAGTTTATTCCATCAAGTTTCATAACTTTGACTTTACGTATTATTAAGTGAAAGTGGGCTGCTTAATCTTTACCCTTTATAATTTTGGATTATTATATAACACAAATTGCTGACTTGTTCAGTAACTCTAATTGTTTTAAACACTTTAATTAAATTATTAAATATTACAGCTGCAATAATAAATGATAAACATGAGCTGAAATTACATAGAAGTTTATGTAATAATTAAAATACACATGTGAAACTATGAAAAAAAGAATATAAATACCATAAGAATATAAGTTTACTATTTAAATACTTCCTATTTATTC